AGTAAGAAAACTGGATTTTAATAATATGATAGACCAGATGGACCTAACAGACATTAATAGAACATTCCACTCAACAGCAACAAAATAAATATTCTTTTAAAGTACGTGTGGAAATTTTCCATGACAGATCAATTATATGTTGGGCCACAAAACAAGGCTCAACAAATTCAAGAAGATAGAAATTATATCATGTAGCTTTCCTGAAAACAATTGAATAAAACTAGAAATAAGTAACAGGAAAAAAAACTATAAAATCCACAAATATGTGGAAATTAAATACACATTCCAGAAGAACCAATGGATCAAAGAAGAAACCAAAAGGAAAATTGAAAAGTACTTGAGACAACCAAAAATGAAAACTAAACATACTCAAAGTCTTGGGATGCAGCAAAAGCAGTTCTAAGATGGAAGTTTTTAGTGCCAACTATTTATATTAAGAAAAAAGACAGATCTCAAATCAATAACCTACTTTATGGCTCATGGAACTGGGAAAAGAACAAACTAAGCTCCAAGTTATCAGAAAGAAGGAAATAATAAAGATTACAGCAGAAATAAAAAGAGACTAGCAAGACAATAGAAAACGTCAACAAAACTGAGTTGATTTTTTAAAAACATAAACAAAATAACAAAGCTTTAGCTAAACTTAACCAAGGGGGGAAAAAAAGACATATTACACCATACACAAAATCAACTCAAAACGGATTAATGACTTAAATGTAAGACCTGAAACCATAAAACTCTTAGAAGAAAACATAGTAGAAAGCTATGTGAAATTAGTCCTGCAATGTTTTTTTTAAATTTGACTCTAAAAGTACAGGCAACTAATGCAAAATTAAACATGTGCCTACATCAAATTAAGGAAACAATCAACCAAGTTAAAAGGCAATCTCCAGAAATATTTGAAAACCATACAACTGATAAGTAGTTAATATCCAAAATGTATAGAAAACTCATACAACTCAATATCAAAAAACAAACAAGACAATCAAAAAAATGGGCAGAAGACCTAAATAGACCTTTTTCCAAAAAAGTCATACAAATGACCAAAAGGCACATGAAAAGATGCTCAACATCACTAATTATCAGAGAAATGCAAATCAAAAGAAAAATGATACAGCTGGACCCATTTGCAGGGCAAGAATAGAGATGCAGATGTAAAGAATGGACATGTGGACATGGTGGGGAAGGGGTGTGGGATGAATTGGGAGATTAGGATGACATATATACACTACCATGTGTAAAATAGATAGCTAGTGGAAACCTGTGCTATGTGTATAATGGAATGTTACTCATAAAAAAAGAATGAAATATTGCCATTTGCAGCAACATGGGTGGACCTAGAGAAACTAAGTGAAGTAAGTCAGAAAAAGAAAGACAAATAACATATGATATCAGTTATACGTGGAATCTAAAACATGATACAAATGAACTTATTTGCAAAACAGAAACAGACTCACAGACATAGAAAACAAACTTATAGTTACCAAGGAGAAAGAGGGTGGGGGAGGGATAAATTAGGAATTTGGGATTAGCAGATACACTCTACTATGTATAAATTAGATAAAGAACAAAGCCCTACTGTATAACACAGGGCACTCTATTCAATATCCTGTAATAAACTATAATGGAAAAGAATATAAAAAAGAATATATATATGTATAACTGAATCACTTCACTATACACCAGAAACTAACACAACGTTGTAAATCAACTATACCTCAAGAAAAAAAAATTTTAAAGGGCAACAATATGAGGTGGTGGCTGTGTTAATTAAGTCGATTATGTATACATATATCAAATCATCATGATGTTATCTTATATATATATACAATTTTTATTTGTAAAAATGTAAATAAAGATTCCTCCTGAGGAAAAAAAGGAATGAATATATACGGCTTAGGGAAGGTAGAAGAACTGTTCGGGTGTTGCTTACAGAGAAGCATAAGTCTGGTTTGCAAGAAGAACCTTCTCAGCAAAAGGGGACATGTATAAAAAAGGGCAAGAAATATATTAATTCCCAAGAACACAAGTTGCTTGTGAGGTCCATGGTGGGCATTGAAAGGGACACTACTGAAGTGAGAAGGGGATTATCATAAAGGGAGTTTAGAATTGATTCCTGTAATCACTGTACAGCTTTTGAAGGGTTTGGGAGGAAAAACAAAAATGTCTGATTTGGGTTTTAGAAATGATTCCCTGGCAACTGTATGGAAAGATTGGAGTGAGTCAAAGGCATAAACAGAGACAAAGAGGTCAATAGGATGCAAATGTTATAGTATGTGTGCATTAATCTGATAGGGTTGCCATAATAAAGTACCACAGACTGGGTGGTTTAAACAGCAGAGCTTAATTTTCTCACAATTCTGGAAACTAGAAGTCAAGGTGCTGGTGAGATTGATTTCTTCTGAGGTCTCTCTCCTTGATTTGTAGATGTCCATCTCCTCTGTGTCTTCTCATGGATTTCCTTCTGTGGTGTGTCTGTTTCCTAATCTCTTCTTATAAAAATGTCAGTCATTTGGATTAGGACTCACCCTAATGATGTCATTTTAACTTAATTACCTCTTTAAATTACCTGTTTATCCTATCTCCAAATGCAGTCCCGTTCTGAGGTACTGGGGATTAGGACTTCAACATATGAATTTTAAGGGATCACAATTCAGCCCATAATAATGGTCAAGGAAAGATGATGGCTGAATTAGAATAGTAGAGGTAGGGATGGAGAATAGGTGCTATGGAGGCAGAATTGGAAGCTCTTTGTGGCTGACATGATGAGTGGGGGCAGGGAGCAGTGAGGAGGAAGAAGGTATCTGGGATGTATTTTAGGATTACGGTTTGAGTATGTTGAGAGCACTCTCCTGTTTCTCAGTCTCTTTTCATTCTTCATGCCTTTGCTATCTACGATGGCATCTTCTGAAGTCATAGGTAAAGAATGGATCTTCACCATAATTTAAAGAGTGAAAATGGCTTTAAGAGTTGAAAGGCATATGGATTTTATAATCTAATACTTCCATTTTGGGGCTGGACAAAGTAAGTAGTAAGGTGACTTAGTCCCATCCTATTAACATATCTGTATTTCCCCTGCATCCTTTTCACTTCTTTCGGACTGTGGACATGGAGTCATGTTTATGAAACTCTCTAAGACTCCTGGGTCTACTTGTGGACATAATTCCTCTAGCCAAAAAATACATTAAAACACTTAGTTCAAGAACAGGTAGGCTTGTAGGTATTATCTGCAGCCATTGGTGTAGTCTGGGTTGGAATTGAAGTGTTAATTGGAATCACTGTGCCTAGGTAATCTGAGATCCAGTCTCTAAGCCACTCCCCAGATATCCCAAGGACATCCTTTAAGGTTTGGGACATGAATGTTACCGCATATTATCGCAGTGGGAAAAAACTAGAGAACTGAAGTGAAAGTACTTTGAGAAATGAGTTGAAGGGTTAGAAATTGCCATTATTTGATGATTTATGTACCTTGTCTTCAGTGTACATTCTCCAGTTATTATGTCAACAGAGGCTAGGGCTAATATTCAACTTTAGACCTGACTGGCATTGGCCTCTAAACCAAGACTGTCTACTAAATGGGAACAACTTCCTCCTTAACTGCAACTGGGGATAATTTCTATTTGTGCCTGGATATACCATTTAGTGCTGGGTTTGTTACACATTTTAACCACAAGGAGGCTCACAAAACTTTCCCTTTCACTACACCTTCCACATTAAGGAAGTAGATCCTGGGTGGGAAGAGTAAAGGGAAGCTTTTATTACTGCAGCAATCATTTTTCCACCTTAAGGAAGAATAATGTCTGAGTTCAGGCATCATGGGTTCAAAGTCCTGCTACTGAGCTAGATATTTGTACCACTTGGAGCAAGTCACTTAAACTCTCTGTGACTTAGTTTCCTCTTCTGACCAAAGGACACAATACTATTTCTTACCTCATGGAGCTATTGTTAGGGCAAAATGAAGTTATATATGTAAAGTGATTAAGACAAGGCCTTGCACACAGTAAGTTCTCAGTAAAATTTGAGGGGTTTTTTTGTTGTTTAGTTAGTTAGTTTTCTTGTTTTACTATTTTCCCCTTCCACTCGTTTGGGACAGGTAATTGTTGTCTCCTGGTCAGAAGGCATGCCAATCTTTTAACAGCCAAGTGTGATTAAGGGGTTGGGGTAAAGGACAGATTCCAAGAGTGAGACAATAAGGCAGAGCCTTGGGGTAAACCTTGAGCCAAAGAGGCAAAAAAAGATTTCTGGATCACACTGGCCTGTCTCAACAATCCAGGATGAGACATTAGATAAGAATGTGTGACCACAGTGGAATTTGCAATAGCCTGGAAAACTTCCACATTCAGAGACCTACAGCAACTAGTTAGAGGCTTAGGAATTCAGGATTCAGATTCTATAAAACTGGTTTACCATGAGAACTGATATCCCAATCATACCCTGGGACAACCTAGGGATGTTAAGCTATAGAGGACTGGAGAGACAAGAAAGAATGATAGCTGGAATGAGCATATATATATATATATATACATATATATATTTTTAAGAAGATGTTGGGGGTAGGAGTTTATTAATTAATTTATATTTGCTGTGTTGGGTCTTCATTTCTGTGCGAGCGCTTTCTCTAGTTGTGGCAAGCGGGGACCACTCTTCATCGCGGTACGCGGGCCTCTCACTATCGCGGCCTCTCTTGTTGCGGAGCACAGGCTCCAGACGCGCAGGCTCAGTAGTTGTGGCTCACGGGCCCGGTTGCTCCGCGGCATGTGGGATCCTCCCAGATCAGGGCTCGAACCCGTGTCCCCTGCATTAGCAGGCAGATTCTCAACCACTGCGCCACCAGGGAAGCCCGAGCATATATTTTTTAATGGATCATGTAAGGACCCAGTATCCTTAGCTACTAAAGATCTAAGGACCATGCAGGTGACCTGGATGGCCACCTTACTGACTCATTACAGTTACTGCCAGAACTCTCTTGTCAGAAGTCTTAAGTTGATACTTAGCTGTACTTGCCATAGCCCTGTAGGTCATCTCTTCTTTCTTGGCAGGTTCTGATGGTTTATGCTTTGCAGGGATGCAGCAAAGCTTTCTTAACCCACATTTTTCTTTCTTCTTCTCATTTTCTTTGCAATGCTTCCTGCACCTGCCAGTTCCATAACCACACTTTCTGGCCCATCCATCTATCAAAATAAACAAACACATGAAAAAGTAAAGACAATTATACTAAAGACATTGGTAATTGTAGTAATAATGGTTAGAACAAACTATTGAAGTGTAATGGCATTCTTGGGAATATCAAATAAAGCTGTGCATGTAGAATGCTTACTGCTGGTCTTGATATGTATTAGATATGAGTAGTTATTGCCCTTCCTCCAACCAGATCTAATTGGACTTTATTTTTATGCTTAAGATATTTCCATCTCCGTCAATTTTCAGTCTCACCAACACTGGTTCCTCCTTGTTCCCAAATCTACATGCTTGCCAAGGAATGAGACTATGCCTTCAATTACCTGTTTTTTCCCTCTGCATTCATTATTCACTCAGCAGTGAGTTTTGAGCACCTACCATGTGCCAGGCACTGTTCTAGGTGTATGCCCCAGATGACGTCTGGAGCAGTACTTTGAACACTGAGTGATCAATTTGTATTGCTGATCAGCAGGCAGATGTTCTAAGCTCTACATAGGTCAATAAAACACAGAGTATAGACCCAGCTTCCTCAGCACATTAAATTCAGTTGAGAGACCATAATATCTTGGTTTAAATTATGATTACCTTTACTTGTTTTTTCCTCCAAACTCCCCTCCTGGGAGATAACTCCCAATTTTTTCTTTCTCACTAGGATATCTGGACTGGAAAAAAATCAGAGTCAGGATGACTGCACTCCCTCATCCATTCCAATTGCCCTCACTGTAGTTTAAGGCAGGCTGAAGCCAACTCAGGGTTAGCCCATGATTATCTTCTTTTGCTTCTAGAACAAATGAGTGATTAACAAATACTTTCAGTTTGAAAAGGTGAATCAAGAGAGGATGCAACTTCCAACAGCAATGACCCAAAGGGAAATCATGGAATTAGAAATCATAAACTTTAGAACCCCTGGGAAGCCCCAAGTGGAAAACATTTTTGTTAGAAAGTTATTCACCACTTGGCCATGAAGTCTGTTGTATTGTTACAGTGCTTTGGCCACGTTCAATCTGGAATCCAGAATCTTCTGTCGTAGCCCAAGCTCCACAGCTTGAGCCTGTTTTACAAACCTGTAGATAACCAACATCAACCTACAAAATTTTGAGGCAAAGTAATGGGACTGGTTACTGCAAGATGCGGTACAGAAGTGGTATCAATTGGAAGTGATAGATGCCTGGGATGAGAACATGTTGACATTTGGGACAGGATATTAAGGACACTAGGAATTTGGGTGTTGCTTCTGCATATGGAAGGGGATTCATTCAAGAAACACTGGAGATATTCAAGATGGCAGGGGAGTAGGTGGACATGGAGTTCATCTCTCTCCACAGATACATCAGGAATACATCTATAGATGCAACAATTCTCACAGAACACCAGTTGAAAACTAGCAGAAGACCTTGGACACCAGAAAGGACTATAAAGATCCCTTCATAACTAGTATCAAGAGATCAACTTTCAAGTGCTCAGATACTTTTTTTTTTTTTTTTTGCGGTACACGGGCCTCTCACTGCTGTGGCCTCTCCCGTTGCGGAGCACAGGCTCCGGATGCGCAGGCTCAGCGGCCATGGCTCACGGGCCCAGTCGCTCCGCAGCATGTGGGATCTTCCCGGACCGGGGCACGAACCCGCGTGCCCTGCATCGGCAGGCGGACTCTCAACCACTGCGCCGCCAGGGAAGCCCTGCTCAGATTCTTTATTTTGCCTGATAAGCCTGCTGTAGAAGATTTTTTTTTTTTTTTTTTTTTTTTTTTTTTTTTTGCGGTACGCGGGCCTCTCACTGTTGTGGCCTCTCCCTTTGCAGAGCACAGGCTCCGGACGCGCAGGCTCAGCAGCCATGGCTCACGGGCCTAGCCACTCCACGGCATGTGGGATCCTCCTGCACTGGGGCACGAACCCGTGTCCCCTGCATCGGCAGGCGGACTCTCAGCCACTGCGCCACCAGGGAAGCCCTAGAAGATCATTTTTGAAGGACCTTCAAATGGCAGAGGAGTAAGACGTGGAGATCACTTCCTTCCCACAAATACATCAAAAATACATCTACATGTGGAACAACTCCTACAGAACACCTACTGAACGCTGGAAGACCTCAGACTTCCCAAAAGGCAAGAAACTCCCCCACATACCTGGGTAAGGCAAAAGAAAAATGAAAAAAACAGAGACAAAAGAATAGGGACAAGACCTACACCTCTGGGAGGGAGCTGTGAAGGAGGAAAAGTTTCCACACACTAGGAAGCCCCTTCACTGGTGGAAACAGGGGGTGGGTGGGGAGGGGAAGCTTCGGAGCCATGGAGGAGAGTGCAGCAACAGGGGTGCAGAGGGCAAAGTGGAGAGATGGTTGCACAGAGGATCAGTGCCGACCAGCATCACCAGCCTGAGAGGCTTGTTTGCTCACCTGCTGGGGCAGGTCGGGGCTGGAAGCTGAGGATCAGGCTTCGGAGTTCAGATCCCAGGGAGAGGACTTTGTGAACACAGCCTGAAGGGGGCTAGTGCACCAAAGCTAACTGGGAGGGAGTCCGGGAAAAAGTCTGGAACTGCCTAAGAGTCAAGAGACCATTGATTCGGGGTGGGCGAGGAGAGGGGATTCAGAATACCACCTAAACAAGCTTCAGAACATCACCTAAATGAGCTTCAAAGATGGACGGGGGCCGTGGCTGTCAGCGTGGATACCAGAGACTGGCATGAAATGCTAAGGTTGCTGCTTCAGCCACCAAAAAGCCTGTGTGCAAGCACAGGTCACTATCCATAACCCTCCCAGGAGCCTGTGCAGCCCACCACTGCCAGGGTCCCGTGATCAAGAGACAACTTCCCCCGGAGAACACATTGCACGTTTCAGGCTGTTGCAACACATCAGCCTCTGCCACAGCAGGCTCTCTCCATGTTCCTCCCTCCCCCCAACCTGAGTGAACCAGAACCACCTACTCAGCTGCTCCTTTAACCCCCTCCTGTTTGGGCAAAAACAGACGCCATAGGGTAACCTAGATGCAGAGGCAGGGCCAAATCCAAAGCTGAACCCAGGAACTGTGCGAACAAAGAAAAGAAAGGGAAGTTTCTCCATGCAGGCTCAGGAGCAGCAGATTAAGTCTCCACAATCAACTTGCTGTACTTGCACCTGTGGAATACCTGAATAGACAACTAATCATCCCAAAATTGAGGCGATGGACTTTGGGAGCAACTGTAGACTTGGGGTTTGTTGTATACGACTGATCAGTTTCTGCTTTTTATGTTTATCTTAGTATAGTTTTTAGCACTTGTTATCATTGCTGGATTTGTTTATTGGTATGGTTGCTCTCTCTTTTTTTTATTACTTCTTAAATTTTTTTAATTTTAATAATTTAATTTTTTTTTCATTTTAATAACTTTATTTTACTGTATTTTCTTTCTTTCTCTTCTCACTTTTCTTCTGAGCCATGTGACTGACAGGGCTGTGATTGAAACTGTGATTAAAAATCTTCCAACAAACAAAAGCCTAGGACCAGATGGCTTCATAGGCGAATTCTATCAAATACTTAGAGAAGAGCTAACACCTAACCTTCTCAAACTCTTCCAAAATATAGCAGAGGGAGGAACACTCCCAAACTCATTCTACGAGGCCACCATTACCCTGATACCAAAACAGGACAAACATGTCACAAAAAGAAAACTACAGACCAATATCTCTGATAAACATAGATGCAAAAATCCTCATCAAAATACTAGCAAACAGAATCCAACGGCACATTAAAAGGATCATACACTATGATCAAGTGGGGTTTATCCCAGGGATGCAAAGATTCTTCAATATATGCAAATCAATCAATGTGATACACCATATTAACAAATTGAAGGAGAAAAACCATATGATCATCTCAATAGATGTAGAAAAAGCTTTCAACAAAATTCAACACCGAGTTATGATAAAAACCCTCCAGAAAGTAGGCATAGAGAGAACTTACCTCAACATAATAAAGGCCATATATGACAAATCCACAGCCAACATCGTTCTCAATGGTGAAAAACTGAAACCATTTCCTCTAAGATCAGGAACAAGACAAAGTTGTCCACTCGCACCACTATTATTCAACATAGTTTTAGAAGTTTTAGCCTCAGCAATCAGAGAAGAAAAAAAAATAAAAGGAATCCAAATCAGAAAAGAGAAGTAAAGCTGTCACTGTTTGCAGATGACATGATACTATACATAGAGAATCCTAAAGATGCTACCAGAAAACTACTAGAGCTAATCAATGAATTTGGTAAAGTAGCAGGATACAAAATTAATGCACAGAAATCTCTGGCATTCCTATACACTAATGATGAAAAATCTGAAAGTGAAATTAAGAAAACACTCCTATTTACCACTGCAACAAAAAGAATAAAAAATCTAGGAATAAACCTACCTAAGGAGACAAAAGACCTGTATGCAGAAAATTATGAGACACTGATGAAAGAAATTAAAGATGATGCAAACAGATGGAGAGATATACCATGTTTTTGGATTGGAAGAATCAACATTGTGAAAATGACTATACTACCTAATGCAATCTACAGATTCAATGTAATCCTTATCAAACTACCAATGGCATTTTTCACAGAACTAGAACAAAAAATTCCACAATTTGTATGGAAACACAAAAGACCCCGAATAGCCAAAGCAATCTTGAGAAAGAAAAATGGAGCTGGAGGAATCAGGCAGCTGGACCTCAGACTATACTACAAAGCTACAGTAATCAAGACAGTATGGTACTGGCACAAAAACAAAAATATAGATCAATGGAACAGGATAGAAAGCTCAGAGATAAACCCATGCACATATGGTCACCTTATCTTCGATAAAGGAGGCAAGAATATACAGTGGAGAAAAGAGAGCCTCTTCAATAAGTGGTGCTGGGAAAACTGGACAGCTACATGTAAAAGAATGAAATTAGAACACTTCCTAACATTGTACACAAAAATAAACTCAAAATGGATTAAAGATCTAAATGTAAGGCCAGACACTATCAAACTTGTAGAGGAAAGCATAGGCAGAACACTCAATGATGTAAATCACAGTAAGATCCTTTTTGACCCACCTCCTAGAGAAATGGAATTAAAAACAAAAATAAACAAATGGGACCTAAAGAAACTTAAAAGCTTTTGCACAGCAAAGGAAACCATAAACAAGATAAAAAGACAACCCTGAGAATTGGAGAAAATATTTCCAAAAGAAGCAACTGACAAAGAATTAATCTGAAAATTATACAAGCAGCTCATGCAGCTCAATACCAAAAAGCCGACAACCCAATCCATAAATGGGCAGAAGACCTAAATAGACATTTCTCCAAAGAAGTTATACAGATTTCCGACAAACACATGAAAGGATGCTCAACATCACTAATCATGAGAGAAATGCAAATCAAAAGTACAATCAGGTATCACCTTACACCACTCAGAATGGCCATCATTTTAAAAAGCTACAAACAATAAATGCTGTAGAGGGTGTGGGGAAAAGGGAACCCTCTTGCACTGTTGGTGGGAATGTAAATTGATACAGCCACTATGGAGAACAGTTTGGAGGTTACTTAAAAATCTAAAAATAAAGCTACCATATGACACAGCAATCCCACTCTTGGGCATATACCCTGAAAAAACCATAATTCTAAATGAGTCATGTACCACAATGTTCATTGCAGCACTATTTGCAATGGCTAGGACATGGAAGTAACCTAAGTGTCCATCGACACATGAATGGATAAAGAAGATGTGGCACCTATATACAATGGAATATTACTCAGCCATAAAAAGAAATGAAATTGAGTTATTTGTAGTGAGGTGGATGGACCTAGAGTCTGTCATACAGAGTGAAGTAAGTCAGAAAGCGAAGAACAAATATCATATGCTAACACATATATATGGAATCTAAATAAAACAAAATGGTTCTGAAGAACCTAGGGGCCAGACAGGAATAAAGACACAGATGTAGAGAATGGACTTGAGGACAAAGGGAGGGGGAAGGGTAAGCTGGGACAAAGTGAGAGAGTGGCATTGACGTACGTACAATACCAAAGGTAAAATAGATAACTAGTGGGAAGCGGCCACATAGCACAGGGAGATCAGCTCGGTGCTTTGTGACCACCTAGAGCGGTGGGATAGGGAAGGTGGGAGGGAGATGCAAGAGGGAGGGGATATGGGGATATAAGTATACACATAGCTGATTCACTTTGTTATACAGCAGAAGCTAACACAACATTGTAAAGAAATTATACTCCAATTAAAAAGAAAAAGAAAAGAAATCCTGGACTCTGTTGATGTTTGCCAGGTTCCCCTATGAGAAGCACCATCATGGTCACGGTTACAGTCTGCCTTTACAATGGGGCATATTCATTATAAGGCTTTTCACCAGATCTGTACCATCCCTCTGAGCTGTTCTCATTCCCATACATGTTTAGTTTTCCAATGATTCTAGGAGTTGAACCCCATTGTTACTCCTTTTTCCCTCCTCTCCATGATCTCGTTACCTGGGGAAGCCTGAGTCAGGACCACAAGGACAGCTAAGGCCAGGAACAAGAGTTTGCTATATCCCGAGAGGGGTGAGGAACCATCCAGCAGCATACTGATTGTGCTTGGGAGGGTAGGTTTTCACTCTGTGTTTTATTGACTTGGGTAGGGCTGAATCACGGACAGTAAATCAGAGAAGGACAGAATGTTCCACTACCCAGGACATCAACCTATAGGTCAGCAATGTAAATTGATCATCCAGTATTGAGTCCTTCTCTTGACATCATCTGGGAAGGTGGAAGGCATTAGCAGAGGACATACAAGTCCTGCAAGTCTGTGGCATTGTGGAGAGAATGGACCCACTTTCCAAGAAGCCTTTCCCACTCCTCTCCTTGGGCAGTTGAGCCCCCTCCCTTATATTCTCACAGCCTCTGTGCTTCCTTTTTTCTGTCATAATGTTTATCATGATAAGTTGGAACTAAGTATTTTTCTAATTTATCTCCTCTATTGGATGACACTGGCAACTTTTACAGACCACGAGACCTCTGAAAGTAGGGACTGGCTGTGATTTCTTTATGTCCAGACTGTGCAGTGAACACTTGTTGAAAACAATGAATGAATAAATGCATTATGGTATTCCCTTATAGCCACATAGATCTTAGAATTGGCATTTCTCAGTTAAGAAAATGCGGGCCCACAGAGTGAAAGAGAATTGTCTAAAGTTACACTATGGGCAAGAAAGAAAAGACTGAGAGCCCTCATAACCCAACTCGTAGTCCAGCTCTTTTTAACTGCATTTTTCTCCTTATTACCTATCCAAATCCTTGATATTAGTGCTTTGAGGCCTTTCTTGGACTCTGGCTCCGAAGAAGGGAGCAACAAAGACGGTATAGAAGGGGGCATCCCTTGGCTCCTTCAGGACGTCTGTCTGTGAGTCCACTGGATTTTTTTTGACTCCTTGGTATGTCTTATGGCTGTTTTACATCTTTTAATACGTCCAGTGTTCTTCTATTATAGTCTCTCCTTTGTAAAGTTGGCAGGTATTAGGGGAAACATGATGGGGTTCATGAAGTCTTTTTCCCTTGATATCCAGATAGCATGCTGTCCGGGAAAGCAGTGAGCATCGAGCCACCCACTGAATCTCACTGTCTCTCAGTAACTGTGATAAAAACTTTACATACTTGACCCCTTAGAATCCTCACAGGATCCCTGACAGGTAGATGCGATATGCTCAGGGTTACATAGTGTTTAGAGTGAAGTATGGATTTAGATCTGGTTTACCTGTCCCCAGAGCACATGTTCTTTCTATCATCCCAGAGGATCAATGCCTGAGTAATGAAGGAAGAAGAGGCCCATTTAACCTGAAAAGCAGTAATGGGCTGAAGAGAGTTACAGTTGTTATCTTCTGAAAAGGCATGTTCTGTGCAAGCCTAGAGGGCAGAACTAAAAGTTCTGGGTGGAAACTGCGGGGGAGCAGGTTTAAGCTAATTGGAAAGACCTCTGATGATTGAAGTCATCCAGAAACAATTGGACAGTCTGGGAGAAGTGGTGGCTCCCAATGTCCAAATGCTGCAAACTGAGTCTGTGTGACCACTTCTCTCAGATTCTGTAGGAAGCACTGCTGTGTTCGCTGGATAGGGATCTATTTACTAGGCACAGTTCTAGGCACTGGGTCTAAAAGGAGAAGAGAACAATGTCCTGCCGCTCTGGTTAGGGAGAGAGACAACAAACATATAATGCCAGAGGGTGACGAGTACTATAAAGAAAAATAAAGCAGGATAAGGGATACAGAATAATATGATATATGGTGTGTGTGTGTATTTTGAACAGGTTGTGCAGGGAAGGACTCTCTGAGGAAGTGATATTGAGTAGAAAACTACATGTACTGAGGAAGTGAGACACATGGATATCTAGAATCTCCAGGCAGAGAGAACAGCAAGAGCAAAGGCTCTAAGGAAAGAAAGTGCTAGGTGTGTTAGGAAGAGCAAAAGTCAAGTGTACCTGCAGTAGAATGAGTTGAGGGGATGAACAAAAGAAGCGAGAATCATACAGGCAGGCAGAACTATAGTATGTCAGATCTTGTAGGTCTCTATTAAGTACTTTGTAATTGATATATGATAGGGAATTGTGACTTACATTTTAAGAGATCATTTAAATCTGAAAGTTTGTTTTTGTCTTTTTGCCTGTAAGACATCACTTTCTCCATCTGTGAAAGTACAGTATTTGGGCTAAACAAGTGTTTTCTGGAATGTGTCACTGCCCATGTCACTGGCAGTATGTGTTTTTCATAACTTTTATTTTAATGCTTATTTGAGAAAAAAAATCACTAGACCTTGATCTGGTGATTTTACAGATAACATCCCTTAGGATGTGATCAAATACAGATTTAAGAAAATGGTCTGTTGGTTTCTATAAAAAATATTAGGTAAATAATTCTATAGCTTATAGATGATAATGCAAAAAAAATTGTAAGATGATATATAAATGGCTAAAGTTTGGGCTACAAAATTGAAAAAGACCATTCTTTGGAAGAGAAAACTGAAGGCCAGAGAGGTCAGTCAACTTTCTGAAGGCCACACAGCTGGTAAGCCATGGAGTCAGGAAGGGGACTTTAGTCCACCTGACTCCAAAGCCATTGCTCCTTACAACAGAGAATATTGTCTCACCAAACACATAAGTCTTCTGGCTGTAATTATGTCTTTATTTATTTATTTTATTAATTTTGGAATTATTATAGATTAACAAGAAGTTGCAAAGATAGTAAAGAAATTCTGTGTACATTTTACCCAGTTTCCCCAAATATTACATTTTGAATAACTATAGTACGATGTCAAAACAAGGAAACTGACATTGGTACAATATATATGTATATTTCAATGTCATTTTTCACAGGTGTTGATTAGTGTAAGCAATCAATATGCAAAACTATTCAATCACCACAAAGATTTTCTTTGTGCTGCCCCTTTATAGTAACACTCAACCCCCTACTTCCTTAGCATCCCTAACCCCTGGCAACAAACTATTTTTTCTCCATCTTTCTAATTTTGTCATTTTGAGAATGTTATATAAATAGAATCATACAGAATATGACTTCTGAGATCACTGTGTATATCAATAGTTTGTTCCTGTTATTGCTGCATAGTGTTCCATAGTATGGATGTACTGCAGTTTATCTAACCATTAACATATTATAGAACATTTTGGTTGTTTCCAGATTTTGGTTATTACAAATAAAGCTGCTATGAACATTTGCATACAGGTTTGTTTGTGAACATATGTTTTAATTTCTCTGGATAAATGCCTAGGGGCTTGATTGATGGATTCCATGATATTTGTAAATTTAGCTTTTTAAAAGACTGCCAAACTATTTTTCAGAGTGCCTGCACCACTCAACATTCTCACCAGCAATGTGTGAGAGATTCAGTTTCTCCTCATCACTGTGTGATACTGTCATGGTTTTTAATTCTAGCTATTGCAATAGATATGTAGTACTATCTCATCTTGTTCTTAAATTGCACTTCCCTAATTGCCAGTGATGTTAAACATCTTTTCATGTACTTATTTGCCATCCATATATCATCTTTGGTGAAAGGTCTTTTCATTTCCCCACTTTCTAAATGTTATAAACTCTATATATGAGTTCTTTGTTGGATATTTTTTTGTAAATAATATCTCTCAGTCTATGCTTTTTCTTTTAGTCCATTTCATGTTTTTTTAATTCATTGCCTCACATAGTTATTTGTTTCTTTTTTGTGGTGAAAACAAGATCTACTCTTTTAGCAAATTTGAAGAATACAACATTGTTAACTATAGAAACATTGTTGTACAATAGATCTTCAGCACTTATTCATCTCGCATAACTGAAGCTTTGTACCACTGGCTGACATCTCCCCATTTCCCCCTCCACACAGACCCTGGTAACCACTATCTACTCTCGGCTTCCATGAGTTTAAATATGGAGATTCCACATACAAATGAAATCATAAAGTGTTTTTCTTTCTTCATCTGACTTATTTAAGTTAGCATAATGTTTTTCAGGTCCATATATGTTGTCACAAAAGGCAGATTTCTTTCCTTTTAAAATGCTGATTAATATGCCACGGTGTGTGTGTGTGTGTGCGTGTGTGTGTGTGTGTATACATACATATATACGTCTTCTCTTTCCATTCACCTGTCGACAGACATTTTGGTTGTTTCTATATCTTGACTATTGTGATAAATACTGCAATGAACATGAGAGTGCAAATATCTCTTCAAGTTAGTGATTTTATTTCATCCATAAGCGGGATTCCTGGATCATGTGGTAGTTCTATTTTTAATTTTTTGAGGAAACTCCATACTGTTTTCCATAGTGGCTGTACAATATTTAATAATACTGCTTTCCATCAATGAACACAGAGTATCTTTCCATTTATTTGTGTCTTCAATTTCTTTCCACAGTGTTTTACAGGAAAAATATTCTCTGACATAAATTGTAGCAATGTTTTCTTAGGTCAGTCTCCCAAGGCAATAGAAATAAAAGAAAAAACAAACAAAGGGGATCTAATCAAACTTATAGCCTTTCACACAGCAAAGAAAACCACAAATGAAACAAAAATTCAACCTATGGACTGGGAGAAAATATTTGCAAATGATGCAACTGACAAGGGCTTAGTTTGCAAAATATACAAACAGCTCATACAACTCAAAAAAAAAAAAACAATCAAGAAGTGAGCAGAAGACCTAAGTAGACATTTCTTCAAAGAAGACATAAAGATGGCCAATAGGCACATGAAAAGATGATCAACATCGCTAATTATCAGAGAAATGCAAATCAAAACTACAATGAAGTATCACTTCACACCCGTCAGAATGACCATCATTAAAAAGTCCACGAATAATAAATGCTGGAGAGGATGTGGAGAAAAGGGAACACTTCTACACTGTTGGTGGGAATATAAATTTGTGCAACCACTATGGAGAACAGTATGGAGGTTCCTTAAGAAACTAAAAATAGAGTTACCATATGATCCAGCAATCCCACTCTTGGGCATATATCCAGAAAAGATGAAAACTCTAATTCAAAAAGATACATGCACACCAATGTTCATGACAGAAATATGTACAATAGCCAA